GGGTGATATGCAAATTAACTGCCAACAAAGATGGTGGCGGTAATGCATACATAGGCACAATGATGGGAGGCTATAAGGGAAGGACAGTGCTTGGAAACACAGGCAGCAGGCAAGAGCCGGGAGGCAAGGTCCCTGGACCTGGATCAGAGAACTGGGTGCCTTTGCCCGTCCCCCTGCCAGTGATCGGAGAAGCCAGAGGGGGGCAGGGAAGAGGCGGGTGCCCACCTCTTCCCTGACCACACCTGCCCTAGATCATAACCAGAGATCCCACAGCAGGAAAGGGCGGCCTGCAGCCAGCCCCCGTGTGTACCTGCCCTAGGGATCGCGGGGATTCCACATCAGGAAAGGGCAGCCTGCAGTCAGCCCCTGTGTGCACCTGCCAGTGCAATCACCCAGGCAATCCCAGAGCAAGAAAGAGCAGCCTGCAGCCAGCCCCTGTGTGCACCTGCCCATGGGTCGCCACTGTGATCCCAGAGCAGGAAAGGGAGGACTGCATCCAGCCCCCGTGTGCACCTGGCAGTGGGATCGCTGCAGCAATCCCAGAGCAGGAAAAGGCGGCCTGCAGCCAGCCCTCCTGTGCGCCTGCCCATGGGATTGCCCTGGAGATCATGGACCAGGAAAGGGCAGCCTCTAGCCAGCCCCCATGTGCGCCTGCCCGTGGGATCACCACTGCGATCACATAGTGGGACAGAGCAGCCCCTGGCCAGCCCGTCTGTGCGCCTGCCCCTGGGTCACCACAGCAATCCCACCGCAGGAAAGGGGGGCCAGCAGCCAACCCCTGTTTGCGCCTGCCTGTGGATCACTGCGGCGATCTCAGAGCAGGAAAGGGTGGCCTGCAGCCAGCCCGCATGTGCACCTACCCCTGGGTCACCGCTGCAATCCCACAGCAGGAAAGGGTGGCCTGCAGCCAGTCCCCATGTGTGCCTGTCCCTGGGTCACCCCGGTGATCCCACAGCAGGAAAGGGTGCCCCACCCTGGCCACAACTCAAGGGAAAGTACAACATGCAGTGGAGGCCAGGAGCCTGAGAGATAAACAGAGCGGGGTGCCTGCAGAAACACACGAACACACACAGTGCCTACTCTGACCCTTCAATGTGGCTGGGAGCAGACCACCAGTGGGGACACACACACACACGCACACACACACAAAAATGGGACGCCTGCTCCGAGCCTCTGCTGCCAGACTGTGGCCATCAGTAGAACATTCACTGAGGGCTCCCGGACTGTGTGAGGGCGGGCTGGGCTGAGGAAACACCCACCCCCCAGGGCACGAAATTCGTGCACCAGGCAAGTAGTCCTATCTAATAAAAGAGAAAAATGGTACTTACCCATACGACCACGACCCTTCCCATTGGCTAATCAGGGCGATATGCAAATTAACTGCCAGCCAAGATGGCGTCCAGCAGTCAGGCAGCTTGAAGGAAACATGAGGCTTGCTTGCTTCAGTGATGGAGGAAACCAACGTTCCCTGCCTGCCTTGCTGGCCTCTGAGCTTGCAGTTTGAAACATTGTTACAAATATAGAAGCTAAACAAAACCCCAGAAACCTGCTTTCAGCGAGCCGGGATCTCAGACCTGGAGTTGATACAGTGTTTCGATTATAGAACACAAACAAACCAGATACCTGCTTTCAGCAGCAGAGGCCTCAGAACT